TTAACTCTGTTTTCTCCTCCACAGATGCTGCCAGACTTGCTGAACTTTTCCAGCAACTTTGTTTTTGTTCCTGATTTACAGCATACGCAGTTCTTTTGGTTTTTATGAGAAAGGGGAAATTGCAGTTTCAGAAACTGGTCAATACCAGTAGAATAGTAACTTTTCAAAATTAATCACTATAAACTATAAATAGCTTGAATGTTTTAAGATTTTGGATTATTTTTGTTCAATTTCAGAAAAACATTGTATGCCTATGGTAACTTTAAAGTCTTGCAGTTATTTTCCTGTTCAGTCATAGTTATGCTATTTTATGGAAAGATGCTAAATGGTGATTATATGTTTCCTCTCTGAAATGCATTGAAAGTGGTAAACAATCTTTGGCTTTTGCCTATCTTCACAACAATGAAAGAAAAAGATTTACTTGCATTTTTGCAAGTGTTGTCAAAGTACTTCATCACTAAGATTTGCTAATTAATTCTCTTGACCACACCTTATAGTGCAAGAGAATTATAGACTGGATCATCTTTGGCTTGAAGGTGTGCACTCTTGTCTCTTAAGGCAGAAGGCAGTTTGTTTTAATTCCAGTCTGGTGATTTGAGTACATAATCCAGGTTGTTCCTTTTCTCAAGGAGTTCTGAGAAGTGCTGCATTGGTAAGAGGCCTGTTTTTTGACTGGGCTGTGCTGTTTCATTCGGAATGAAAGATCCCATGGCAATGTACAATACTGACGAAGGCATTGACCGGATGCCCTTGACAATGCTTATTTCTTACCCAACATTACTAAGCTAGATTTATCTGGTCATGTATCTCTTGTTTGTGTGACCTTGTGCACAGAATTATCTGGAGTATTGACTGTACCTAAACTGCTTCATTGGCCATTAAGTAGTTTTTGGATATCCTGAATTTGAGAAAAGCTACATGGATGTAAGGTGACTCTTTATCAATTTTTCCTCCTTGCTTGATTCACGCAGTAGAGAAGCTGCATAAGGTTCACATCACAGATGGTAAAAGCCTGTTGGACCACCAGGTTCCTCTTCCTCCATGTTGCAACTGCACAGTTTGTGTCTTTTATTTTTATTTTTATTTTTGCTTCATGTACCAGTATCGCAGATCTTTGAGATCTTTAATGTTGCTCCATATTAATTGTGTTATAAGACAAAGCTTATGTTTGTTTAGATCAAATAAGAACTCTGAAAATTATTGTATTTAGTTGGGCAATGGCGAAGTCTTACACCTAAATGAACAAATATGTTTTGTTATAGATGATGGTTCAATTATTGGATAATTAGGAATATAAATTCATTTGGCCTTTCTTTTTTGTTGGATAGAATAAAAACAGAAGGACTAGGCTATTTGGTCCTCGAGCCTGCTCCATTATTCAAGAAGACTGTGCTGATCCAATCTTGACCTTAACTCCACTTTTCTGCCTGTGCTCTGTAGCCATTCAGTCCGTAGATCAGAAATAGACTGGAGTTGGCCTTGAATATATTCAGTGACTCAGCTTCCATAGCTCTCTGAATAAAGAATTCGAAAGATTTATCACCCTCTGAGAAAATAAATTCGTTCTAATCTCTGAAATAGTGACACCTCATCCTGAAAATTTGCATTGTAGTCGCAGATTCCCTCATGAGAAATAAAACCTTCTCAGTGTCTTCCCTGGCAAGGCCTTCAGAATATTACCACTTCTAATATGATTATCTGTCATTCGATTACACTGTAAAGGTGATAGGCCCAACTTGTTCAGTCTTTCCTCATAAGATAACTTCTTGATTCCAGGAGTCAACTTCATATACAGTTTCTCTAAACTGCCTCTGATATAAAGATATCTGTGTCATTGAAAGCCAAAGTTGGAGGAAGGGGAAAGAGCAGAAAATTTCATTTGTCAAGTTGGGCACTTCCTTTAAATTTAATTTGCTTGATGTTTATCACAATGAATCCTTTCCTCTGGGCTTTGAAGATTTAACTTTGAAATTTGCTAGGTGTGGTTTAGTGTGATTGGAGTTTGAAAATTGGTTTGCGTTTTGTCAGAAGTCATTTAAAAGAAATGCCTTTCTGTGTTTGTTATAGGGATGCTTGGAATTCCCTGGGAGACATGTCGAAAGAGGAAGCTATGATTGCCTATGTTGAGGAAATGAAAAAGGTAGGATAAGTTGTGACACAGATTTTTGAAGCTTAGCTTATAGTTGTAACTAATTACATTTGTGATTTATGCACTTTGAGGGATCCATGCAAATGTTCATGTATCCTAGAATATGTCTGTTATCCCAAGAAAATAATTGTTATAATTGTGAAAGCTGCTTTTAATTTTTAAGGTGACAGAAGCAAGATGTGAACAAATAAAGAAACTAATGAGTTTTAGGTACTTTCATGGATTCCATTGTGGTGTGAGTTCATATATTGATCTTACATTGATCTTCAGGGAATATGAAGTGCTAGAGACATGAGGCAAACTACAATTAAATGGAGTAAATTACTAGATGGAATATAAGTTTAAAAACCAAGAGCTGGAAGGCCAAAAGGGAAAGAGGGAGAGCCAGAAGGATGGACAGACAATATTGGGAAGGAAGGACCCAGACAGAGGGACAGGAGAGAGAAAGACTGGGAGAGAACTGGATGGATGGGAGCGAGGTAGCTACACAAGTGGGCAGGGAAGAGGGAGCTGGAGCTGGATATACAGACACCAAAGGGAGAGGAACACATAAATTGCCAGTTTTGTTTAGAGTAGAGGAGAGAAACTCAGAAATTCCAAACTTGTTTTAGGAAAGCTAGACTAGAGATGCTCAGGTGAGGAATGAGTCAACAACAGGGAAAAACATACTTGACCTCATCCTCACAGATCGGTCTGTCGCAATTGCATTTGTCCATGAGATGCTGTGGGCCATCAACAGCAGCAGAATGATACTCCAACACAACCTGCAACCTCATTGCCTGGCACATCCCCCCACACTACCATTACCATTAAACCAGGAATTCAAATCTGATTCAATGAAGAGAGCAGGATGGCTTGCCAGGAGCAGCATTGGGCATACCTAAAATTGAGTAGTCCACCTGCTGAAACTACAAAACATGACTACTTGTATGAAGCAGCAAGTGGTACAGAGTTAACTAGTTCCCCCAACCAGTGGATCTGATCCAAGCTCTGCAGTCCTGCCATTTCCAGTCGTGAATTGTGATGGACAATTGTAAACCTCACTGGAGGAGGAAACTCCACAAATAGCTCTGTGTTCAATGATGGGGGAGCTCAACTTATCCGTACAAAGGATAAGGCTGAATCATTGACAACAGTCTTCAGCCAGAAGTGTCAAGTAGATGATCCATCTCAGACTCCTACAGATATCCCCAGCATGCCAATCCTCAGTGAGTTTGACGCACTCTATAGGACATGAATGGCTGAAGATGCTAGATACTGCAAAGGCTATGGGCCTTGACACCATTCCAGTAGTAGTACTGAAGTCACATGCTCCAGAACTTGCTGTGCCCCTATCCAAGCTATTCCAGTACAGCTGTGACACTACAACCTACTCAACAATGTGGAAACATGCCCAGCTTCAATCTAGCCAATTACTTGTCCATCAGTATACTGCTGATGATCAGTAAAATAATAGAAGGGTTTATCAACAGTGCTGTCAAGCAGTATTTGCTGAAATATAAGTGGCGCTGAGCTTGGATTCTGCCAGGGCCACTCTGATTTTTGACATCATTACAGCCTTGTTTCAAAAATGAACAGAAGAACTGAATTCCAGAAGTGAGGTGAGAGTGATTATCCTTAATCTCAAATCTGCATTTGACTGATAGTGGTATCAAGGAGCCCTAAATTAGGAGGAAGGTGCTGTGAATTCATGCCCAGCACCAAGTAAAATGTTTGTGGTTGTTCGAGGTCGGTAATCTTGGCTCCTGGACATCTTTATACTTCCTCAGGACAGGGTCCATAGCTCAACCATTTTCGATCGCTTCATAAGTCAAAAGTGGGATGTTCGTTGAACAATTTCTGGCATCACTTGCAACTGCTCAGATAGTTAAGTAGTTGTTGTCCAAATGTTGCAAAACATTGGTGGAGGGGGGCAACAGGTGGGACTTGAACCTGACCCTCCAGGTCCGGGGTTGCGGACACTACTGCTGTGCACATGAGGGCCTTAGAATTCAAACTTCGCATTAAACTGTGGCAAGATTCGAACCAAGGTCCCTGGAATATTAGCTGGGATCCTGAATTAATTGTCTAGCAATAATACCGTCAGACCATTACCTCCTCATAATGCCCTGTTGCACTCCATTTTAAAGTTTTTTGCGATGTTTTGTTTTCTTGTTATTCTCTGTCTTTGTATTTTAAAATTCTTCATATGAGATTTTGTTTGTTAGCACAGTATTAGCAGTCGGAATTTGGCCATTATATTTGAATGAATAAAAAGTCCTAATAGCTTCCTGTGCTGCCTTTATTTTCATCTGATTTGGAAAGTACTGACTGAAGAAAGTTGGCATGGTGGAAAGGAGTGTGTATGTAATGTTTGAGCTCGAAACATAGTGCTCTGTCTGTGCCTATTTTCTGATTTTCATACTGCTAAGCATATAAAGGTGATACTGTACCAGAAATATCATAATTACAGATTTTGCTTCCAGATACTAAATTGCTGCTGCTATTACACTTTGTTAATCTTTGAAATTGGGTAATACTAACTAACCAGAGACAAAGGTTGAGCTCAAGAAGTTTTCACAATTCTGAAAGGAAAATAAAGAACAGATTACCAAATTAAATAACATTTTACAACTTTAAGACAAAATACAGCAAGGATATTAATGTTTACTCCTTGTTTTATGCCGCATAGAATGTCAAAGCATAGCTTAAAATTTAAAAGTCATATGCTGGAATGATTAGTCTTTGAATCCTTGTATGACCTTGGAGTATGTATTGGTCACAATGAATTTGTTTCTAATTAAAATGAAGAAATAATCATCCTCACCTGTTCTTGCCAAAATCGTATACCATTCTGTTTTCACTCTTTTCACTTGGCATAACTTTTGCCTGGCTTTCTGCACCAGTTCCTGGCCTTTTGTTTGGAAGTGTTGAGTTCTTCTTTTAACTCTGTGTTTGAACCGTATAAACATATTGGGAATGCAGCATCTTGTATTTTGAAGATCATACCTAATGTTGAATCAGTACTGCAACTGAAACAGAATGTGGACATTTACCAAAGAGCAATTTCATTGCTTGCTCAAATTTGCACCTGAAATAAAATTGATTTCTGTTGCTAAAAAGAATCTTGTTTATGTCCAATAGCTTAAAATCAAGAAGCTGTCTAAAGTCATTTTTGAATTTTTTCTTTTTTTTTGTTTCTGTGCTTTGAATAAATAAATTGCAGTTTAATTGTACCATTATTCTTTTAAAAAAATATCCAAGGTACTTGATAGAAATATAATTAGGCAAGATTGATATTGAGCTAGTGAAGGCTATAGTAAGAGGGCTCACTAAAAGTTTTGGTCAAAGAGAATTTAAGAAGGGTTTCAAGGTAGATCAGAGGCGCAGAGGCAGAGAAGTTTAGGAAGGAATTCCAGAGCTTGGGGCCCTTCTGTCTGAAAGAAATCATAGAATTGTACAGTATAGCCCTTTGGCCTGTCAATGTCTGCACTGACAGAAAACTACTGAATCTACATTAGTCCCACTTTCCAGCACTCGGTCCAAAGCCTTGAATATTTTGACACTAAGTGGTCATCCAAGTACTTCTTAAAAGTTGAATCAGAGATAGTAGGAACTGCAGATGCTGGAGAATCCGAGACAACAAGGTGCAGGGCTGGATGAACACAGCAGGCCAAGCAGCATCATAGGAGCAGAAAGGCTGACGTTTCAGGCCTAGACCCTTCAATGTTTCCTGTCTCAACTATCCTCCGAGGCAGTGCATTCCAGATTCCCACCACTCTCTGGGTGAAAAGATTTTCTACATTCCCCTTATCTCTCCTACCTTTTACCCTAAAACTTGGACCCCTTATTATTTATCCATCAACTAGGGAACAGCTGTTTCCTATTGACCTTATCCATGCCCCCCCAGTCAAACAGGTCTCCTGTCAGCCTTCTCTGCTGTAAAGAAAACAACCTGAGCTTATCCGGCCTCACTTCACAGCTAACTGTACCATCCCACGCAACATCCTTGAATCTTTTCTGCATCCACTGTTTCAGTTACATGTTTCCTGAATTTTGCTGACCAGTACTGCAAACAGTGCTTCTATTGTGGCCTAACCAAAGTTCTGTACACCTCCAGCATAGCCTCCCTGCTCTTATGCTTTACGCCACAAAGGCAAGCTATGCCTGCCTCTTTGTAGGTTACATGGAACAATCCCTCTTCCGTACCTGCACTGGCCCTAAACCCCACCTCTTCCTCCGTTACCTTGATGACTGTATCGGCGCCGCCTCATGCTCCCACAAGGAGCTTGAACAGTTCATCCACTTCACCAACACCTTCCACCCCAACCTTAAGTTCACCTGGACCATCTCCAACACCTGTCTCACCTTCCTGGATCTCTCTGTCTCCATCTCGGGCAACCACCGAGAAACTGATATCCATTTCAAGCCCACCGACTCCCACAGCTACCTAGAATACTCCTCCTCCCACCCACCTTCCTGCAAAAATGCCATCCCCTATTCCCAATTCCCTCGCCTCCGCCGCATCTCTCCCAGGATGAGGCATTCCACTTCCGTACATCTCAGATGTCCTCGTTTTTCAAGGACGGCAACTTCCCCCCTCAGTGCTCGAGAATGCCCTCGACCGTGTCTCCCGCATTTCCCGCAACTCATCCCTCACACCCCGTCCCCGCAATAACAACCAAAAAAGAATCCCCCTCGTCCTCACGTACCACCCCACCAACCTCCGGATCCAACGCATCATCCTCCGACACTTCCGCCATCTGCAATCTGACCCCACCCCCAAAGACCTTTTTTCCCTCCCCACCCTTATTTGCTTTCCGGAGGGACCGCTCTCTCCGTGACTCCCTTGTCCGCTCCACACTCCCCTCCAGCCCCACCACACCCGGCACTTTTCCCTGCAACCGCAGGAAGTGCTACATCTGCCCCCACACCACCTCCCTCACCCCCCTCCCAGGCCCCAAGAAGACTTTCCACATCAAGCAGATGTTCACCTGCACATCTGCTAATGT